TTTTGCCTTTTTTTTTTTTTTTTTTTTTTTTTTGGAGTTTGGGGAAAAAGAAATCCCTGCCTACCTTAGTGGGCAGACAGGACGCACTTTTACGGCAGCGTCTTTAGTGGCGTAACTGCCATCGCTCACGTATACGGTTGGCAAATGCTTCCGATGGCGCTCGGGATTGCCAATCTTTGCCAGTGCCGTCGGTGAATCGGATATGAAACAAAATTGCAGAGCGCCGAGCGCTAACCACTTCCGGCGATGCGACTCGCACGCCGCCGTAGGTCAAAGGTGACCGCTATTTCGTTTTTTTTTTTCAATACTTTTTGGGGGAAAGTGAAACCGATAGGACGCTCAGAGTGCAGTGTGCACTAACACAAAGATATAGAATATTAATACAGTGAAACTCCTCGACAACGAAATCATGTTTGCAGCAAGAAATTTTTCACAACAGGGGACTTTTCACTGTAGGAAATTTTATCTCAGACGTAAACACGAACACACACAAAAAAACGTACATGTGTAGTTTTTATTTTTATTCCAATAATGCATAAGTATGAGCATACACTTGTTTGACACTTCATATCGCCAGCGTAGAAAGAAAAAAAGGGAAATTGCGAAATTTAGGATCAACATTTACTTTCACTTTCATCAATTTCTTGCCGAATGTCTTTTATTTTGCTTCCTCCATCTTTCATTTTTATTACTTTTATCCTGTCTTCAAGCGTAAACGCTTTTCTTTTCTTAACTCCTTGGTATGCAAAGGTCCGTTTTGTCGCCATTTTAGCGATGCAACGTACGTGCTGCGTCTGAAACAAATACTTCCCCTTCTACTGCGCATGTGTAAACCAGTGTGGTGGTTGCTATTGCCGTTTCCGAACGAAGCAGCAGAGGTCGCTGTGGCATGCTGAGGTTGCATTCAACTTTTGCGGAAGGCTTGTTTTCATTGTAGTGAATCTCGTTGCGTGACAAGAGCAGAGAAAAAGATTTCGTACAACGGAACAGAGGGACTTTTCGTCATAGGGGGAGCAGAAAAGTGGGAATGGCTTTCATGCATGACATTTTTTTCACACTAGGGGGTATTTTCGCCCATGTAGGTTTCGTTGTAGAGGAGTTTCGCTGTAGCACGCACACAGACACGCAAATCTTTGTTTTTCTCCCCCATTTCTGCCTCCACCCCTCGTGATCGGCACCCCTGGCTTAGACCAAAGTCTCCGTCCGAGGGTAGCCGGATGGATGAGCCCCCATCCCGTACGGCGGTGCTTCGTCACCTTTTCTAAACCGAGTACTACCTTAACAACACTTACTATGCACAATCTCAACCGTTTTCACGACGCTTCAATATCGACGAGAACAAAAAAAAGATTCAAATCAAACGCATCGCACACAAAACTGAAACAACAAGCTAAAATGTCGGAAAACACCAAGGGGACGTGCAAACGCATCGCAATTCTACTGGACGAGATTTCATGTCGTGATTCGCTTGGGGTACCACTCGGGGGAGTCCCGCACGTTCGTGAGCCACTGCTGTACTTCTCTGCGCCACACACTCCTGCGTTTTGTTTGTTTGTTCCGTTTTAATCCCAGCTGGTTAGTAAACCTCTCCAGGTCTCTGACTTGCATGCTGATCAATTTCCAAACCGGGTGTTGGACATGATTGTCGTCATGTTGTGGTTTGTGAAATGCTTTGTCATGGATTGCCTTAACCTCAGATTAAAAACAAATGTTGACAACTTTGTCGGATCACTGTAGCAAACGACACGCGGTGGGGGGCGGGGGGGGGATTTACCCATCCGACAAATGCATGCACTCAAACTCTGCGTTCTCTTCTCTTCTCTTCATTTCCTTGTGGACTGCGCATTGGATTTCCGGGTCGGCAAATTTGATCGCTAGCCATCGCGCTGCTCCAATGCCGACTTTCACTTAGGGCCAGACATGGACACCTTTCCCGAAATAGGATCGGACAAACCACACCGACGTCGACTTTATTTAATTTTTTTTTTTTTTGTGTCATTTGATTCGTTGCACTAAATCTTGACGGAACAACTATTGTGTTGGGATTTGGTCATACTTGACAAGAAAACATCCGAGTGAAAGTGTTTGTACTCGGGGTCCCTAACATGATCCTTCAGTAGCACTCCCTGAAAAGCTCGCCAAAAAAAAAAAAAAAAAAAAAAAGATGCTCTGACAACGTTTGATGATCATTTGCAAAGCGGGGGTCCAATCGCATCTTGAAGTTGTCTTTGATTTTGAAAGTTCAACATACGTGGCCATATCGGGGGTGTCATAAGATCACCTTGGAAGTGACTCCTCTCTTCCCAACCAGATAATTCGTCGGCGTATTCGTGTTGTAAAACTCATTCTAATGAGATTTTCATTGCATCCCCGCATGTTTTATTTATGTCTATGAAGCCCCTCCGAGAGATGATGAGCGTTCTTTCTTGCCGGAATGTCCCCCCCCCCTCAGTGTTGTTGCTGGCCCGAATGAAATGCGCTGCGAACAAATCAAGGCGCCCGCCTGGGACGCGAGAGACTGCGGCGGGAGCTGCAAATGAGTCGCTTTTGCTTCAACACGCCGCCAAAACCAACCCCTGACCCCCGCCCCCCCCCTTTGCCCCCCCCCCCCAACAGTCACAACCAACAAGGGGCCCGAAAGAAAAACGACAGCTAATAACCTGGATTTCATTTTCGAGCACGCAGCCGAACGTGACGGTCGCGCCCACGACGGCTTGTGCGAGAAAAAGCTCCCACCTGATTTTGAGCGCTTTTTACAAGCCACGCTCTTGAACTGAAAGGCGCTAGCTTGGCACTTTTTTGGAGAAAATCAATGACAAAGTCCGACGGCAACACTGGGCAGCGGAACGGTTCTGCGGGTCTTCTTTTCAGTTCCCGGTCATCGTGGATGTGAAAAGACATTTGACACACAAACGCTAGCTAGCTCGTGTCGTTAGCGTGCTTTCGTGCTTTCACCTCCTCGATTGATGAGGTCTGCACTCTGCGTGCACAGCCGAGACCTTTTTTTTCATGCTTCGACCGCTGCTTTGTATTCAACAAACTCGACAGGAACGCCTGCCGCTTGGCTGATCGATCGGCGGAGAGGTTCTTAGTTCCGCACGTGTAACAACACTGCCCCCTGTTGGAATCCCAAAAAAAACGACAAACGAAGGAAAAGGGAGAATGGCTTCTTGCTCTCTCAAAACAGAAAAGGGAGCCAGGTAAGTGGGTAAACTTTCCAAGGAAAAGGAGGTGGGGGGGGGGTAAATTCAGGCCACAATATTTTCATTTTTTGGCCACAAAAGAGTAAAAAGTATGCACAAAATGCTAACTTGTGTCTTATTATCAATCACATGAACAAGTCGGACATAAGTTGGATAAGCAAATGCAGCAAACCTTTTTCGGAACGGGCGACACACCATGTCCTCTTGTCTTCTTGGAAAGGGTAAGACAAGACAAAGAAGAGCACTGTGTGATGGGGAGAGCTGCGTTAGACCGCGGGTGTCAAATTCAAGGCCCGGGGGCCAGATCCAGCTCGCCGCGTTATTTGAGGGGGCCCGTGAAAGCAAATCAGGTGTGTCAACCTGCACCGTCCTTGCTAAAATCTGTACCGAAAAGTCAAATTGTCATGTGTCGTAAATAAGGTTGAGATTTTGCAATCATTTTGTTCGCCACTTCACATTCACAAACCTCCACGCAACACACACACATGCACAAAAACACTCACATCACACACACGAGCAGTACAAAAATCACACTGGCGCACAAGTGAACTCACACACGCAGTCTCTCTCTCACACACTCACATCTAATAACCAAACTCATCGGTACCCCCCACCCCTCCATTTCACCCCACGTGAACACAACCCAACTAAGCCCACGCGCATCATATCCCCACGGCAACATCACGCCTCTGTCCAGGGTTGTGAAAGCCGACTCCGCCGCGGGTTCACTCCTCCCAAGGCAGCCGCCGACGCAAGAGGCGCGCGACCGACCGACCGACCCTCGAAAAGGCCGAACCTCGCCCCGCCCCGCCGACGACGACGATGGACCTGCTTCCAGCCCAGGAGGCGGCCGGCATCTACCACACCAACTACGTGAGGAACTCCCGGGCCATCGGCGTCCTGTGGGCCGTGTTCAGCGTGTGCCTCGTCATCATCGCGGCGGTGGTGTTCATCCAGCCCTTCTGGATCGGCGACAGCGTCAACACGCCGCAGGCGGGCCACTTCGGCCTCTTCCGCTACTGCGTGGGCAACGCGCTCACCTCCGAGCTCATCTGCAAGGGCGGCCCGCTGGACTTTGGCTCCATCCCGTCGCCGGCCTTCCGCACCGCCACGTTCTTCGTGGCCGCGTCCATGCTGCTGACGGTGGCCACCACGGTGTGCTTCGGCCTCTTCTTCTTTTGCAACGCCGGCAGCGTCTACAAGATCTGCGCCTGGATGCAGCTGGCCTCCGGTAAGGCACAAAGTTTTGTTGGAAAAAAAAAAAAATTCTACTCTTATTTTATTTTTTCTTTGTTAGCATCCAAGATTCCAAATTTTCCATTTTCTTTGTTTGGCCCCTGCAATTTGGCGACCGGTCCTCGGTGTACCTCGCCTTTCACCTGATGAGCAGTCAGCTGGGACATGATCCGGTTCAGCCTTGGCCCCTGTGAGAGAATACCGAGTTTAGTCAACGCATTTGAAGACCGGTCCATAAATGTTTGGACATTGGCCCAACTTTCAGCATTGTCGCTTTGCGCAACACCACCATGGATTTGAAATGAAGCCATCAAGATGTGCTTGAAGTGCAGACTCTGGGCTTTAATTTGAGGGTATTCGCCTCCAAATCAGGTGGGCAGCGTAGCAACGACAACACATTCAAACTGTATGTGCCTCAAGGGACCAAAATGAACAGTAGTGGAGGCCAAGTGAAGCTTCATGAAGCGCTCGTGACATTTTTTGACTCCTCGACGTGCCACTCTTGGTTTTAAGATGCAGTGGAACGTTCATCCATTTCTATGACACTAAACTTGATATTTCAACCAAGAGCAGCATCTGAGCCCCGCAGCGTTTGGGGTGTTCCAACATGGCTCTGCGTGAGCTGACGGATTGTATTCTGGCACCATTAATCGTGTCTTTGGTGATGAAACTGAGAACTGGGCGTGTTGGGCTCTTGTTGCAGGTGAGTTTTGTGCATCTGGTTTCAGACACCTCAATCGGCGGTTTTAGTTACATGTCAGTCACCTGATCAGGTGTCGCTTGAGCAGCACATTTGCACCTGTGACAATGCCAGAATGCCAACACAGGAAGCCACCAAGGTAAAGTGCAAAATGTGGATTACGTTCATCCATTTCCATGACACTAAACTTGATATTTCAACCAAGAGCAGCATCTGAGCCCCGCAGCGTTTGGGGGTGTTCCAACACGGCTCTGCGTGAGCTGACGGATTGTATTCTGGCACCATCAATCGTGTCTTTGGTGATGAAACCGAGAACTGGGCGTGTTGGGCGTCTTGGGCTCTTGTTGCAGATGAGTTTTGTGCATCTGGTTTCAGACACCTCAATCGGCGGTTTTAGTTACATGTCAGTCACCTGATCAGGTGTCGCTTGAGCGGCGCATTTACACCTACAACAATGTCAGAATGCCAACACAGGAAGCCACCAAGGTGAAGTGCAAAATGTGGATTTTTTTTTTTAAGCCTTGTTACAAATGTACGCATGCTTCTTCATCTGACGAATGTTGCCACAAACGGTTCAAACAGCTCCCTCTTGTGGATGAAACTTGAATAGATTCGGGAGATTTCCCGACTCGTCCATCCATCCATCCATCCATTTTCCAATCCGCTTCTTTTGACAAGGGTGGCGGGGTGTGCCGCAGCATCTCCCAGCTGTCTTCGGGCAGTAAACTCGTTCAACTCATTTCTATTCTTTTGACCGAGCATGACTCGGACTTGATTTTTAGTTTTACTCCCGTTTGTGATTTCTACTGTCTTCGTGACTCATTTGTTGTTGTACAGATGATATTTGCTCCTTATACAGCACTTTGTATACCGCGCTGGTTGTTTTCAAATGTTCTATACTGTAAATAAACTTGAGTTGAGTAGCCCGGGGGACACCCTGAACCGGTGGCCAACCAATTGCAGGGCACACAGGGTACCAACAACCATCCACACTCACACCTTGGGACAATTAAGAGTGTTCCATTAATCTGCAAGTTTTTTGGAATGTGGGAGGAAAGGGGAGTACACGAAACACACACACACACACACACACACTCGGGGAGAACATGCAAACTCCACACAGGAAGCACCTCTGCAATGTGAGGCCGATGTGCTAACCAGTCGCCCACCGTGCCGCCCCCTACCTGAGTCTTTTTTTTTGGGGGGGGGGGGTTGTTTTTCCTTTGCAGCCATTTTGATGGTGATGGGCTGCATGATCTACCCCGACGGCTGGGATGCCCCCGAGGTCAAGCAAATGTGCGGCCAGCGGACGGACAAGTACAGCCTGGGGAAGTGCACGGTGCGCTGGGCCTACATCCTGGCCATCGTCAGCATCCTGGACGCTCTCTTGCTGGCCTTTCTCTCCTTCACGCTGGGAAACCGGCAGGACAAACTGCTGCCGGAGGACTTTGTGGCAGAGGGTGCAGGTAAGAAAGGAAGGAGCGTCTCACCGAGGGGAGCGGGGTCAGCTTAAGGGGGGCCCCAAGAGAATTAATTCTAATCTTTTTTTTTCTTCTTTCTTTCATACTTCACAGAAAACCCCTGACGAGGCCGCGTTGGGACGATATGAGATGCAAACGAACAGTGGCAAGGAGGCGTGACAGCTTTTGGACAGAAAATGTCAGCAAAACTGGTGCGGTATGGAACATTTTTATTCTAGGTTGAGTTTGTAAGTTGGAGCTCACCCACCCGCACAAATGTACTCGTTGGCCACACGATACAACCAAGCACAAACATCTTCCGTCCATTTATTAAAACACGGCTACCCAGCTAAATCGCTTTAGCTAAGATATAACATTTGTTAGAAACTGTACAGAACTGTCATATATATTTATAGAAAGGCAAATTCTTTGGTACAGATATATACAATTATTTTCAGGTTTTTTTTTCCGTTCAGCTTTGCGTTTGTTTGTTTATTTGCGGCTTCCTGTTGCACTCGATTCCTAAATTGTGTCGCTGTAGAACGATCCATGAAATTGACCAGAAATCATGCGTCTTTGAACGATCTACGTATGGCGGAGATGGATCGTAACAGGCACGACTCCCTTCGGTGGTCTGCCGTGAGATTTTTCTTTTTTTTTTTTTTCCCTCCTAATATAAAATATGTGCCTTGACTCGATATGGGCCGGGAAGCACTTTTCTGGAATATCAGCATCCGATGGCAATGAAAGAGGCCCTTCTGCCCTACGGGGGGGATTTGTGACAAAATAAAAACACCAACGAAACCTCGGCTGTGTGGAAAACTATATTTGCAAATCCTTTCCGAGTGAGTCCACATTGAAGGGGAATGCCGTACAAGCGCATTCGTCGAGCCGACTCGCGCGCGCTTGCTCGAATGACGGGAGGTTGAAAGGGATTTGCAAAACGATTGCATCTATTATTATTATCATCATCGTTCTCAAGCGATTACGCAGCATCCAAACTTGTGCTGATGCTTACGTACGTGCATCGCAGACCAGACACCCGCGTCTCGCCACATCCGTCCGGCTGGAAAAATCCCGCGAGGACCGTTCCCGTCGGCGGCGGCGTACGCGCCAGCCCCCGTGTGCAATTTCCTACGCCTTCTTCACAAATACAAAAAATGTGTACGTATTATACATGTCGAACAGAAGATAAAAGAGCGAGTAAAAAGGAAAAGTGCGGGAGGACTCGTGAAGCGGCGGGGACGCGGCTACATATCCTGTTGTCTGTCGGGGGTTGGTTTTAGTGCACGAGTCGGACAGACGGAGGAGGAGGAGTCACCGGCGGAACAAGAACGGGTCCAGCCCCCGCCTACCCCGCTCGGGTACAGCAGTTGAAGCCAACTGTGAGGAACATCCCCATCGCGCTCAAGAGAAGAACCCGCAAACGTATGCGCAAAGAACGACAAGAGAAATAAATACTCGGATGATATGCCCAAACTGGAAAAGTGATCTGTTGCATTCTCCGGAGAGAGTGTGGAAGGGAAAGGAAGGGAAGGGGTGAGGGGGGGGTCCACTAGCGGGCCAGCCACGGGTGGCGCAGGCACTCGGCCGCTGTGGCTCGCTTGTCGGGGACCAGCTCCAGCATGGGGAGCAGGAAGTCGGCAAAGCACTCGGCCTCTTGCCGGGGCCACGCGTACTTGTCCACCAGCACCTCCAGCAGCCCCCACGGCTTCAGTTTGGTGATGTGCTTCAGGTCCCCTGCGGGTACAATTGACAGAGTTGACATTATTTTCAGGTACTGTTGTTTAATTTGGGGGGTTGGGTGGCAAAGTTGCTCCAAGTCTTTCATTGTCCAGAAAGATACGCTGAAGCCTGGCAAAGTCGAGTCCCGCGGGTCATTGACAATTTTAGAGTCGTATTTATGAATGAAGGGTTCATCGACTGGCCATTTATTTGTTGTTTATATATATTGGGGGGGGGGGGGGGGGGGAGACGCCATCGCTCTATCTTGAAACTCACTGCGCAAGCTTTTATAGGTCAAAGACAAAAGGAACTTCTCAAAAAGCCCATCACCATAAAAGTACCTCATATTGTCGATATTTTGGAATGATTATTCTTATAACCTTTCAAAATAAGAGGACAAAGGCTGAATTTAAAGTCATCTTATTTTTAAATATAACATTTCATTTGAAATTAAGAGGTGAAAACAACTTTGAAAAAGTCAAATTAACTGGTCAACTTAAAGATGAACTAAATTTGTCTAGCGGGGCTTCGCTAATCACAATCTACGCATTTCCTATTTGTCGATACCTATACCCCCGAACCCTCCCCCCCCCAAAAAAAACAAGAAACATTTCAAATAAGAAAAATAATTGAATTGATTAAAGATGAAATCAAACCCAATGAAAGTGATGAAAGATAAAAATGAAATAAGTTCTCTAGAGGAAGAAAATCCCATGTTGGCGCTCTAAATTTCCCTTTTCAGTGCTTGTGGTGGCCCAAAACGAAAACATCCCACCGCGGTCTCTGCCAGCAGCACGCAGAATGACGGACTCGGGGTTTGCCTCCTGATTTTTTTTTTTTTTTTTGTAAATGATATATCGAGTGCGATTACAAATTTGATATTGATCAGGTGTCTATCAAAGAATATTTGGAATTATGGCTCAAAAGAAGGAAAGACATTCTTGAAATCAGCCTCAAAGCGACTTTTAGGAACACATCAAGCCATCTGGCATTCAACTTTGCAGTTGTTATTTTGTCCATAAATCGGATTTCCTCAGTCTTAAAAAAAAAGGACATGGTTTCAAATTGACAGTGCAGAAAATGCACACACACACACACACACATCTAAATGACGCTTCCGTTTGTTTCCCGAGCCAAAAGAATATTTACAGTTGAAAGGCTGAATTTCTGAGGATTTTTATTTTTAATTATAAACCATCTCTAAGCAGTTACGCAATGACCTAAACACCTTGACTTATAAATTGACCCCCCCCCCCAAAAAAAAAATAAATAGAGAATTCACTGCTGGGAAGACAACTGTTTTTGGTTTACCTTTCTTGGTGAAAAAATCCTTGGAATATTTTCCGTTCAATATGAGTTTACGCGGGACACTCCCCAGCAGCTCAATGATCAGCGCTATGTGGTCTGCACCACACACACACGCCGTTGCCAGGGGGAATGGGAGGGGGTGGGGGGGGGGGAACAAAGACAGAGACAACATAGACAAGAGAGCGTCAGTGACGGAATAGCGACGTACCTTTCTTTGTGAAGTATTCCAGCGAGTGTTTCCCACTCAGCGCATACTGGCGAGGAACTCCACCGAGCAACTCGATCATGAGAGCAAGGTGGTCTGGAGACAAGGCCCGTCGGAAGCGGCGCAACGACAAAAATGGGTGGAGAAGAGAGCAGATGGCAGACGGTCACGACAATGGAGGAGAATGCCTGCCTGCCTGCCTGACCGGGGCGAAAGTGGCCCCTCGCAATCGGGCAACGTGCTTTAACTGTAGGCCGCGGGTGCTGCTAAAAAGGGAGCATGGGGGGGGGCGTGGGAACGAACCACAATTCCACTTGATGAAATGGCCTGGCCCCACCCGACCTCTCCGCACCTGCCCGCTGCCTCAGGTGGGCAGACTGCTCTGTCTGCGCCCCCCCCCGCCCACCACATATCTACAAAATGTCAAACCAAACGTCTCTAATGGCGTCGTGGGGAAAATGAAACGAATGTTTGGGGAAAGACTTGTGAGTTCAGGAAGTCTTGTGTGGAAAAAAAAAAGCAGCGGAGCATGCCAAGAAACGACGTGAGCGCAGCTTAACATGCTGGAGCAGAATCGAGTCGGGACAAAAAGCGTGAGGTGAAATGAATACAAACGAGGAGCAGGGGGAGAGATGGCGGACCGAAAGGCGTGTGCCGCATTGGAAGAGGAGGTGGTCGAGCTGTTGATGGGCCTGTCTCCAGTAGTCGAGTGCCGGGAGAGGAGGAGTCAATGGAATGGCCACGCCCCGTCTCGCAATTTCTTCTTTTTTTTTTTTTTCATGAGCTCTGAACTCATTCACTCCCAAAGACGTTTTTAAACGTCTTTTCAGACTTGGTCTAGAATTGGCTGGTACTGAGTGAGTTAATTGAGCTGTAATGCGACTGATATCTTTCACCGAGCGGCAGCACGGGGATCCTCGATTGAAGCAACAATCTGGCTAATTTAACAGGTCATACATTGTCGTGGTTGCTGCGAAAACTCCACATTTGTCAGCCGCCTGACAGTCGTGAACAAGCACTTGTTATATTAGCGGCAGAAAGCACATGTCACGCGATTCCACGTCGAGACACAGAATTCTGTACGGCTATCAGATGTCACGAATAACAACAGGGAATGGCGAGCATGAGGGCGTCTGAGTCCTACCTTCATCTCTGGAATAATCTTCGCCAGAGTGCGGTTCGAACAAGTAGTCTCCTGTGGCGAGTTCAAAAGCCTGAGGCGACAACAACATCATCATCACCATCAACACAAGGACCGTTGAAGCACGACGGGCGACAACTACCACTTCCCTCCTCCGTAGCTGCGCAGCTGAAAAAAAGGCCTCGTCACACTGCATGAGTTGAGGATGGAGAATTTGAGACCAAGTCTCTTACCATGCAGGCTGCGCTCCAGATATCCGCCGGTGTGCTGTAGCCCGCGCCGATGAGGACCTCTAAGGAGCGGTACTGCCGGGTCTGGATGTCTTCGGTAAAGTGCTTGTGCTGAGAGCAAAGCACAAGCGTGGACAAACATCAACGGAACACTCTTGTGCATTCCGTGCTGTCTTTTCTTATCATCCGTCTCATGCACGCGCGCACACACACACGCACACGTGCCCCGACTGAATTTATTTTGTGATTTCCTCGCTTGTGAATACAGTACACAACAAGGGAATAAATAACAAACACTTCTGTGACAGTCTCTCCTACATTTTACTGACATCTGATCGTTCTGTTGGAGCAACGCTCAAGGAAATGCCAAAATTAATTCTGAAGAGCGGCAATAGAATTTATTTGGTGATTTCCTCGCTTGATTTTCTGTTTGGATGCATTGTTTTCAACTTTCGTAGTTTCATTGAAGTAATCGTTAATTTACGTTTTTCGGAGGCGGTCATGAATGCCTCTCGAGTCGAACGGAAGGAGCGTAGCTCCATCTAGTGGATGCTTTGTAGATTGCGCCTTATAACCCGGTGCGTCCAATATATGAAAAAAATGATAAATGAGGCCATTCACTGAAGGTGCGCGCGCTCATAATCCAGTGCGCCTTTTAGTGGGGAAAATACGTTGAAAAAATATATTCCCCCCGTGGATGTTGATTGAAAGTTTTTCGCTCTCGGGAGAAATGGAACAAAGAAAAAGAAAAAAAAAACGTGATTTGAATAACATTAGTCATTTACTTTTTCGGGAAGTGAAAGGGAGGAGGGGTGGGGGGGGGGTGGTTCTGCTGGTTGGGCCACAGCACCCAGCCCCATGAAAGGAAGCCAAAGCTGTTGTATTCCGGTAATTGGATGACACTGGGCGCGTGGGTGTGTGGAAGGCCTGATGGCTAACGGGGAAATCCCTCAGGTCGCAAGAGGACAACTCACCACCCAGCAGGCATTTCCGAGGTCTGCAATCTTGACTTTGATCTTGTCTGCGTTGATCGGCTCAAGGGGGTTGACCAGCAGGGATCCGGCCGTTTGCTTGCCTATATCGGAGCAGAGAGACAAGATAGCAGTCGGAAGACTAGCCGAGTGTCTGAATGAACACGGCAGGGTGAAAGATGCCTGACCATTTTGGAGCATTTCCTCACTCCCATCTTCTCCCCGCTCGCGACAAAGATTGTCTCCGGGCTCCTCCTCCTCCTCCAACCTGCCGGAAAAGTGCCCGGCGGACACTCCGCTGCAAGGAGGCCCTTCAAGGTCAGGGTGCAGCTGCTCCTTCTGGTCGCCACAGTCCAACCCATTAAAGAAGGCGCGTTCTCGCTTCTGCGCAGCGTTTCCATTATGCTGGTCTTCCTCCCTCCACGGGGGAAGTCTCCGCTCCAACTCTGCGTGTCCGTTACAGTTCAGCTCGGACGACTCGTCTGCATTGGCGTCGCTCTCTGGGACCATTGGGGGTGGGGGGGAGCAAAAAACAAAAGCTTTGCACACAATCCCTGGCTGCCGTACGTTGATCTCAAACCACGATAGTGTGCGTGTGTGTGTGTCGTGAGAGATCAGCAGGTATGCCGTGGAAAATGTGCCATTTTGTGACCTTTTTGTTTGGTGATGGGCCGTGAGATTTTTCTAACGCCGTACGTTGATCTCAAACCACGATAGAGTGTGTGCGTGTTTGATGCGAGAGATCAGCAGGTATTGCCGTGGAAAATGTGCCATTTTGTGACCTTTGTGTTTGATGATGGGCCGTGAGATTTTTCTAAGGTAGAATAACACTACCGGTGTACGCCTTTGGAGGTAAGGCGAGACTCGTATCATTTCAGGACCGACAAAAACGAGATAAAGCCACGAAGGGGTGAATTTAGAGCAAAGGCACAAAAAAAGGAGGCCGGCAGCCATCGGCATCTGACTTGTCACCTTGCGCGTCTTGGTTGCCCACATCCTGCAGCGACAGCTGCCTCAGAGGAGCGCAGGCCCGGCCCTTGGGCGACTCGGGCTCCGCGTCGACCTCCTCGTCGTCCTCCCGCGTCTCTGTGACCTTCTCCATCTCCTCCAGGTCCATGATGCACTTTTCCAGCAAGGCCGCCTGCCGCTTCTGCTTCTTTTTTAACTTCTTCTTCTTGTTTTTGGACATTTTCACAGTCTGTTGAAGAGGGAAATTCACGCCAGCTCACAACTGACACGCGCATTTTTAATCTTGCGTTGAGGCGGGTGCAATATTGGAAACACGGTATCCGCGGGTTGAGGGAAGTGAAAGTGACCCCACCCCCACCCCCAAGGCCACTTCAGTCAAATTTAAAATCGCGTTTGGTAAACGTGAGCCGTCGTGTCTCTTACATACAAGGAGAAACGTCTACATCCAAAATCCATCTACGACCACAATAATGAAATACGGTCTTGGATCTCATTAGCTCGTGCAAGCATCCCTCATAAAAGGTGTCAGGAGTCTACCAAACTAGTCGTGTAAGCATAGTTCAGGCATTCATTTTGTAAAATTGCAGACACGCGGCCCAAGAGGAAATAGCCAGAAAAAAAAAAATGGTACCTGTTTCGGAGCAGGGGCGGTGCTAACTGCAAAATAGAGAACGTCAGCGGTTAGAACACGTTGGCCGGCACATCCGCGTGGACATCAGAAGCGCATTTGCGTACTTGCGGAGCCCGAGGGAGGCGGGGCTCCCGCCCGCTGCCATTCCGCGGCTTCTGCCGCCAGCTTCCGGACGTAGGGCTCTTCCACGCTCATCAGGATGTTCTCCGGCTTGATGTCTGTGTGGATGATCTGACACTTTGTGTGCAAGTAGTCCAGGCCTTGGAGAACCTGGGGGCAAAATTGGGGCGTGACCACCCGGTCCAAATTGCTCTCGATATTTCGGTCGAGCGAATCCATCAATGCCGGTTCAACGTGCGACCTGAGAGCAAAACGCGTTCGGGGTGCGACCACGTGTGTTCTGGTTGGGCTCACCTGTCGAATGATGCTCTTCACACAGGGTAGTGGCAAACCCTGGTAATTGGATTTGATGATCCACTTCAATAGGTGGTGTCCCAAAACCTCAAACACCATGCAGACGTCTGAAGAGACGAGGTTAAGATCGCAACACTGATGACGGACGTCCTTCTCCTCCAGAATGAATGCCTTTGTTCGTTTTGAGATTTGACATTCAAGACACCCTGCGCCGTTGTAAGCATGACGGATCAAATGGGAAACAAAAGCAGGAAGGATCCGATAGGTGACGAGAGCTGCCACAAACAATTATTGTGCCCGTCGAGTCATCATCAATGGCAGTACGGTATTCTACTTCCATAGGGACGGCTTCCTTTTAACTCATTCACTCCCAAAGACGTCTTTTCAGACTTGGTCCAGAATTGGCTGGTACTGAATGAGTTAAACGATCGAGGATTCCCATCGTGCTGCCACGAAACGGAGGTTTGCATCGTAGTGAGTATATAAGGTGAAATGCGCCATATCTGATGGACTCTGTTGCCAACAACTTTGGCTACTTTCCCCACACCGCTTGCGTTGACCTCCCGGATGACACGGGTTACAGCTACTGCGCATGTGCGTCGCAGACGGGCCATACAAGCAGTAGGAGAAGCGCGAGACGAGGCCGTTTCCAGAGAAAAACAATGCTCCAGATAAATAAATATATCAATGAGTGAGGCGTTAAAATATTAACTTTGTGGTCGAGAATTTTCGTCGACTCATCTTGACAGGTGATGAAGAGCGATTATGGATACGGGTTCCGTTGACACCGGAAATCTTAAAGTCATCCAACATCTGGACGACCATCTCCCGTTTCGGATCATCAGGGTCAGAGTTTCTCACCTGGGCACAAAAAGAAAAAAAAAACGTATCGGACCAGTATTAATGTACAACGAGTGTGATGCTGAAATAGCAACTGAACAGAAAGCCAAGCATCGTTGTGTGCGTTTATATTCGTCCTCGTGAAAGCATCGACTTACAGACTTGAGAAGTTTGATCTCATCCACCGCTGTTTCTGTGTAGTGTTCTGCACTCTTGACCACCTTCATGGCAACAAACCTTTTCATCCTACGAAGCACAGAGCAAAAATACGGCTCTAAGGTCCGGCTGCCACCGGAAGGCATCCCGGTGCGGAGACCGCAGTGAAAATCGAGAACAAAGTTGCCTACTGGATGTCGCGGGCGAGCCACACGGTGGAAAAGTGTCCCCAGCCCAGTTTCCGGATGACATGATACTTTCCATTGTAAAGGTCGCCCACTTTGACATGATGGTAGCCCCCTGGAAGAGAAAACGGAATTCGCGGGCCACGGACGATAAGAACGCTCGGAAGGCTTCAACCAAACTCACCTTTGCAATAGTCGTTGGGATCCTCCTGCTCTTCATCGTCGGAGCCTAGAATCTCCTCGGGTTCTTCCGGTTCTTGGGGCGAGGCTTCGTGTTGGGCCTGCTGACGACTTCTGGGATGTGCCGGCTGCCTGTTGACAATCCAGAAGTCCGCCTTGACAAAAGCTACTCAAGTTGACTTTTCATTCACACCGCCGGGGACGGACGGTGTCATTTAACAATTATTGCGTGTGAAGAAGGGACGGACGATGAATCAGGATTTGGCTTTCCTTGATCTTTAAAACGTTACATCTGAAGGAAAAAAAAATCCAGCTTCTTTCATCTTAGGCAGCTGACGAAAGTCAAGCCTTTCCTTTCTCTGGTGAGCGCTTGGAAACAGTCGTTCATGTCTTGGTCACATCCCAGCTGGATGACTGTCATGCATTTTACTTTGGAGTCAGCCAATCCTCCATGAAGCGTCTCCAGTTGGTCCAAAACGCTGCCGCTCACCTCTTGACTGATACTCGTAAGAGGGAGCACAGAACTCTGGCATCCCTTCACTGGCTCCATTTTTCCTAGTTCTTTTGAAGCTCCTATGATTTGTTTTCAAATCTTGAAATGGACTCGCCCCACCTGACCTCTCTGAGCTCCCCCGCACCTGCTCGGCGCCCCAGGTCAGCGGACCAGACGCTATTAGAGGAACTGAGAACTAAGTGGGGGCTCGGAGGGGATGGAGCCTTTTCCGTTGCCGCTCCCTCTCTTCGGAATGAACTTTGGGCAAGCCATCCTTGAAACTCGTCTTCAAACTCGACATTTTGATTCTTTGGCTGTTGACTCCGCAAGTGACTTTATTTTGAGTTGGGCAGTCTTTGTGCTTTCTTCTGTCTTCGTTATGAATATATTGTTTTCTTATCTGTTGTTTGTGCTCGTCATTTCCTCAGAGGACTGCCCGGTGAACCTTGGCCGGTACAAAAGTGGATCGGGAGATTAAACCTTAAACCTGGCACAATTATCACCCTGCAGCCTGCTGGAAAGGCGCAGAGCTGTAAGGAAACCAAACCACGAGCTCAATGACGACATGATGTAAGCGTTCATGCAATAACGTTAGCTTCGTTGTCAAGCACGAGATCTCAGACGTATTTTGTTGAATAAAAACGTTACACTTAGTTGTTACACACATGATTACCATGTGCCTGGACGGAAAATTTGCGACGTAGGGGCCTCAGAATATAGTTTTGTTACTATTTTAGTGTTTCGTGGACAGCGCACGCAACGGCCGGCATTCAGGCGACATCATGAGAGGCGCCCGGCCGCCACATGGGGAGAGGCGGGGTTTTAGTGAGCCAGCGGTCTTTCTTCCGGGTTACAACAATAACCACCAAACTCGTACTTCAGAAGAAATTCAATCACCATTGTGCCAAAGGTAAGACAGAATCATATCTTTGCCGATAGTGAAGAGCGGAAAGCTTAAAATCGCATGATCTCGGCCCCGTCACAAAATTAAACGACACGTGATTATAAAAAGCGGCAATTATTTATTATTTTGTGATAAACATTTTACACACACATTGTAACTTTTTTTTTTTTTTTTTTTTTAATTTTCCCATCTGCCCGTTCTGAAATTTAAACACGGCCCCTGCGCACCAAAGCAGCCATCTCGTTACCTCTACGTCCCGGCATCCTAGACGCATAATTTTCCCCCCGAACGCACGGTTCCAAATAATGTACGTTTTTGGGACGCAAGGAAATTTCAGACCAAAAAAAAAAAAAAAAAAAAAGACGGTAAATCTATTTTTCCAGCGACGATCGCAGTTTGATAATCGTCGCCATTTTTGTTTTGATCTTGCGATAAGTGATCTTGCATTAAGCGATCTTACGATAAGTAATCTTGCGTGGCCAGACTTCCATTCTCGCAAGACGAGATTGGCGAGATTGGCCTTCAACCTCGCGGAAAGCAGACGACTGCCAAGTCGCGTAACGTTAAAACAAGTGTTGCAAAAGTTTATTGCGGAGATAATCACAGAGGAAGCAGCCAAAGTTGGATCGTTTTTTGCGATAATAATCTTGTATGCCTGAATTATTAACATTTTTGCAGCATTTGTTTATAGGAAATAAACCTATTGTCAATGTATACTGTTGTTGTTTGTGCTATTATCATATGCAATTGAATAAGTCGACCATTTCAGAATTCGAAATTTGGGACTCTCTAAATGCAAAATGGGACTCATACTTTTCTGAACAGCGAGTCCCTGGGACTCGCATGGCTCAAACTGTAAAATTATCACTGCCCAAGTTCACAATAATTGAACCGGCCGAAAGAAAAAGTGGAGGAAAGAAAGAACTAGATGATCAAATGTCAAATTCAATCGCATTCTTTGAGGAACAGAAACGACGACAAAGCCAACCAACATCTCTTCAAGGAGGAACTGAACCCTGTGCAGTCCATTTGGGACTTCGTTTTTCTCCGAGTGCCTTGGACAGAGAACGCTGGCGTACCACGTTGATCATGTGGGGTATTTTACTTGTATGTGCCGCTTTCTTCCATCAATGTATCCCGCCTCAGGGTTGCACGCAGTTTTCGGAAGAACACCACACTCGACATGGGCTTCTTTGTTTTCGCGTTTTATACAGTACCAAGCCTGAGCTGTTACATAAGAAATCCACGTGTTTTTTTCTTTTGTGTGGTTTGTGTGGGGGGGGGGGTTGAATGGGGGCTAAAACTGTCGGTATGGTAAAGGAACCCTCACAGTGTTTACTTTCTGAAGGTGATTTGCCATTAGAACAAAGTAGTTAGAAGAGGTGGGGGGGTGGGGGGGGGATGATGATCCTGACATAGTGCATTCGGAAAATGCTTTTTTTTTTTTTTTAAGAACGCAATTGGACATCCTGGCTTCTCACCAAAGCAGGAAGAGCCTTTGGTGTTTTATTTCTCTCATTCAGCATTTTTTTTGGTGTTCTTACATCATGAATATTGTGATGTAGTGTGACTGAAGCAAAAAAAAAAAAAAAAAGCCAGTTTTTTTTTTCCTTTTTGCAGCTTCCTTTTTGCGGCGGACTGGTTGGTAGGAGGCTTCAAAGAACATCATGAACTTTGCTGACACGCGGCGCTTCCTCAAACATGGCAAGAGACAGTTTTTGTCAGACTGGAAGCTTTTCCGAAGCCCTCAAGCGACGCTCTCTGTTCAATAGGTTTTTGAAAACAATCATCTGAATGACAATAGATACAATCAAATCCAAGTGCTGATGAAAATGTGTGGGCTGTTGAGGGATAGCAACTATCACTGTGGCACACCGAGCAGGAAATAACAGTGAAAAAGCTCACTTTTTGCTGGTCTTCTTGGCTTTTCCCCTCTTTTTCCTCGCCTGCAGAGCCAAAACTGTGGAAATAAGATGCAAATTGTTTGCTTAGGTCCGATTCAAGTACAGTGATCAATCGCTACTTTGCGGTTCACTTATTGCGGATTCCGGTGCATTGCGGATTTTTCAAAAATATTCATAAACAAACAAAAAAAAATTGCGAAAATGCGCAAAAGGCGAGGCAGCGAAAGTCAAAAAAACAACAAAGAGTCACATAGAGCAACATATACGGTACTACATGTTTATGTTGACTGCATTTTGTTATTTATACACTAACCTAACCGAATTTATACTTCTTATACACACGCACACGCACACGCGCGCGCGCACACACACACACACACACACACACACACACACACACACTGCATCTCAAAAGCGAGTCAATTCAAATTGATTTTTATAGAGCGCTTTAAAAACAACGACAGATGCATTCCAAGGTGCCGTGCATAAAGTACAAAACAGACATGCGTACAAAAAGTAGTATCTTTATAAGGGGGAGTTATCGTTGGTGCTGAGCTGTCAGGCACTTATTTTTACAGTTATGCAGCAATTGGTAATTGGAAAAAAAAAGATTTGGGATCCCAGTTTGGTGTATGTTTACGGTAACGCAGGTAAGTATGAACATTTTCAGGGTGGGGGCGTGCACTATTCGTCTATTTTAGACCCGCGAATACCGAAGATTAACTACATTTCATAATTTTTGTTCACGCACAAAAAATCATTTTTATTATTATTATTATCAGTCTCACACCGGAAGACCACGAGCGCCTATTCATCTTGTATCATCTCATAAAGCAATTACAGCGTTAAACCTAACAACCCGGTTATCGAGCCCAAGCTGACAAATGTTTAGAAACAGTGCAAATTTCAGACACACGTACGAGTAATTCCTAAAGGAATGGCGTGATGATATAAAATATGAACAATTTAGAGGGGGAAAAAGGCATCGCAGATCATGTCACAGAAAGAGCGAGAAGCTTCTCTGTGCCGAGCTAATCCTCGCAGGCTAACGCTAGCTCATCACGGTTGACTGTACGAGACAAACGCGTTCCGATTAAAACATTTACGCGCGTCTGCGTCCAATAAAACTTCCCATATACGGGGTGGAGCGGCGATTACATGGCGTCACGTTCGTCGCCCAGTGTTTCGCCGACAACGTGTGGGGCAAACGTTTACCTTTTCTCTCCATGTTGTAGCTTAGCTGTTAGCCACAGCGCCAGTGACCGAATGTTCTGCGCATGTGCGATGGATGAAAGGTCCGAGAGGGCTCAGCTGGTGACATCAGCGGCGGCGCCGGTCAACCACTGCGCGTGCGCAGAACAAAGTGGATTTGGTCTGACAATCAACGTTTGAAATGGATCGTTTCATGATCGCCGATTAGGACTTGAATGACGGCAAATTAAAAATCGAGGTAGCAAAAATGTCACCAAAATGACAAGAAAAATCAATGGAAAAAAAACAAGACTCATTGTACTCCATTATTAATGTATTTATGCTTGGATTGCCATTTTAGTTGGATACTTACCGAGTCATTGGGTCCATATGAAGGCTCAATATAAATCGAATGTTATAATTTTATCTACTGTTTGTGTTGATTTACCTACACCGTTTAATCAGAAATACAACGGAAATACATCCTACACACACATTTATTTCTTTTTCAGAAAACACAAAAAACTGAACTATATTCTAATTATCTTCTGACAAGACTCATTGTACTCCATTATTAATGTATTTATTCAAGAGATATACTGTACTATCCTTGGATTGCCATTTTAGTTGGATACTTACCGAGTCATTGGGTCCATATGAAGGCTCAATATAAATCGAATGTTATAATTTTATCTACTGTTTGTGTTGATTTACCTACACCGTTTAATCAGAAATACAACGGAAATACATCCTACACACACATTTATTTCTTTTTCAGAAAACACAAAAAACTGAACTATATTCTAATTATCTTCTGCATTTTAATAATTTCATTTTCTTATTTTTTTTACATCTCCAATAGGTCAACATTGCCATTGAAATGATAGGATTTTGGTTTACATTAAAATATTTTGTACTATATTTCATCACATATCAATGTATAGCAGGTGAACTTTTTTTACACAAGACACGAAAAAACATACAAAAAGGGACGTCTTAATCACATATCAATGTATAGCAGGTGAACTTTTTTTAATGATTACATTTACACAAGACACGAAAACATACAAAAGGGACGTCTTGAAAATAGTTTTTATTTTGCTTATCAAATGACAAGTCGATACTCTGTTGGACTGAAAATAGATGGGAGTTCTCATATATAAATACATCCTCCACAAAGTATAAATAGATCTGAAATAGCTCTTTTACACATTTAAGCAGTTTAAGCCACATTATGACACTCACATAGCAGTCAACGCAAAAAAAAAAAATAATATTTGGGCAAATTATGGACAGGGATGCACAATTCATTGTAAATGTGGCACATTTGTCATACGCTTTTGTGTTCAACTTTGAATTTGCAAAAATTGTCAACATTTATGGTCAAATAGAAAATGCTGAATCAAAAATATTGTCAGAACATCCGTGTCAATGTTGCAGCTTCACCTGATGAATGGCGGATTAACATTTACTTGAGTTGACAAAATACTTGCAAGAACGCAAAGTCGCACAGCTCTCAAGTCCTTCAGCATCCGAGTGTCACAGCGGTGAGTAAAAATGTGACTCTACCGAAAACGAAAATGAAACTTGTTTCACGGATGACACGGATGTTGACAAGAAGCATATTTAGTGGTTTGACGTTTTCCTCCGGGAGCAAGAAGCCTCGTGAAAGGCAGACTGGTCGGTGCTTGCTGCGTGTCTGGAGAGCTTGACGGCGAATGCAAAAATATTTACAATTTATCAGATGGGATCAGGAGGAGGGATTTCCCGTTACTCCATGTCATCCTCGTCGAAGATGGGGGGCTCGAAACTGCACACCTCCTCGTAGGTCAACCCTGCAAATCGTCAGAACGTCAGAATTTTGAAGGCAGCGCCACGTAAACGTGCATCAGAGTTCAGGGCATGAAGACTATGGACATACTTTTCCACTCCTCGATCTCCAGCTCGCGGCTCTCAAAGCTCTGGTCGTACGGTTCGGCCTCGGGTTCGTCGTCGGGGTCGTGATACTGAGTAAAGTACGGGTGGGCCAGCGCCTCGGCTGCCGTGATCCGCTTGTCGGTGTCCAGAACCAGCATTTTCTCCAGCAGGTCGACGGCTTCATACCAGAGCGAGAGAACGGATGTTAGCACGTGACTCATTTTAGGAACATGTTCAAATAAAATGAAAATTGGGGCCGCAATAGAGATATAACGTACACACGAAATGAACTTGAACATCTGTGAAATGCGCAAATGCCGCGTCTATATTTTGGCCCGATTTGATACAGTTCCCCCCCTCATGTCACGTTTGGGGGGGTGTGCAGCTTTTGCAACCAGACAGTTTCCAAGGGTGGCCCCATGCCAAATTACCTTGTGGATTGGCACCAATAAACACGTCAGCAAAATTCCTCTTGGGCATGTGCGCCAAGGAGCTGATGTAGTTTCTGGCCTGTGGGAAGAATCAAAGCGGTTCCATCAACGCTTCTCACGAGTCGCAACATGTTGCACACATTCGATGCGTGCGCATGACTTCATGCTCCATGATTTTCTTGTCGCCACTCGCTTACTTCTATCAAGGGCTGGGTGATTCATCGATATTAGCAATTTAGCAATCTTCAACTTTATTGCTCGGGGACATGGTTTCTTTAGAATAATTGCGCAGTTAAAAAAAGAGCTTAGCCTCAGCTAGGACGCAGACAAAGAGCAGACTCACTTTCAAATGATTTTTGCATAATCAGAAAGAGGCCCTGGTGTAAGAATTTTCCACGAAAATTGCCAAAAACGTGGTGCGCATTCATATGTTAGGAAAGCAGACTTTTATCCTCACGTTAGAATCTTTTGACCCGAGGAATGGATTTTCAACATAAAATGATCGCGGGTGCGAGTGTTAATGTTTGTCTTTGTGTGTCCTGCGATTGGCTTGCGACCAGTTCAGGGTGTCCCCCGCCGACTTTGTGAGGATAAGCGCAACGGAAAATGGCTGACATGGATGGAGCTGAAGCGTTGGCATTGTCGCCTCCTCTTCGCTGTGCAGTCCACGACGTGCCGGTGACATTTCCAAACTCTTATCGATTGAAATACGATTGAAAACGACTTGGATACATCACCTTATAATGACTGAGAGCCAATACAAGAGCTTTATCAAAAACAAAAACCACACTAAGGTTTTATTCCAAATCGTTTTGTGGACCCCGAGCGGTCGGTGAACAACCGCTCGGTGTGCTCACCTCGTGGCTGGGCATCCTGTTTATTAGCGACGCCGGCGGCGTTCCCGTCAACCGCATTATCTGCTGAAGTTGGTTTATGTCTACGAGGCTGGTGTCAAGGGGGAGTATAGCGACAGCGGCAGAGTTGGGTTAGCAAAGCCTCTTCGTGGGGG